CCCCCCCCTTCCTGAACACACACACGCCCCAATACCACCATCACCAAACGCACTCATGTGTTCACTAATAGCAAAGATGCACCAAATGAAGATGGTCTTTTACGAGAGAAAACTAGATAACAGAAAGATATGATAAAACAGAAAAACTATCATCCTAAACTGTTTTATGTGTCATAACCATTCTGGTCCAAGTTAGGCTCCACCATCACCAAACCCACTCACGTGGGCTTACTAATGCATTGTCATTAGTGTTGCTGTATATCGGCCAAATTGGTCAGCTCGGTTTGGCGTCTTTTGAAACTGAGCCAGCCTGTTTACTAGGATTCCCATATGTTCCGTTACTTTGATAAAAACACATGTAGAATTCAAGATGCACCATCTATCCTAATATGATCGTGAACAATTCCCACTTTGTGTAGAATGTGGATGGACATGTGAGCAGACCATTGGTCGTTATTGAATCAATACCCTAGAATCTTTACACTTCTATTCCATTACTCATGCACATTTGATATTCATTTTTAAAGACACACAAGAAGTACCTGCACAAATTTCTTTTCAAGTTCTTTCAGATTGATGAGTGAGGGTATTTTTTGCACTGATCATTTGCTCACTGAAATTCAAATAATCCTCATCAAGTCCCTCCCCCCCCCCCCCTCTCTACCTCTACCTAGCAATCATTTCCATAACTTCCAAAAATATCCCGGTTTTGTGGACCTTTAGATGTGTAATTAGTTGCGTCAAATAAGATGGTGCTCCAAGCTTTATAATATATGGAAGGAATAATGTGATTCTACCAATAGAAAACAAGCATTTAGTAAAGGTCTCAGAGGCTGTTTGGTTGGTGTTCCATTAAGTCCTATATGGATAAATCTGTCCGTATAGATTGGGAAGGTTTCTGTTTGGGAGAGTTTTTTCTTAGATGGAAGGAGCGTGTTCTTTAGTTGGGAGGGACAGGTTTGGAAAAAACTTGGTTTTCTGCATAAAGCTACCCCTAGAAGCTTACTGAATAAGCCACTTCTATGTCATTAAGACACTACCAAACAGTCATGTATAGTTGACCAAATAAGCTGTAAATTCCCTTAAGCTCGTTAAGCTGCTAACAAACAGACCCTGATGTCAGCACACAATGGAACAGAAAAGAACCATAACTTAATCTTACTTGTAAACATCTGGCCTTTGAACTGCATTCTTGACTCTTTATATAACATAAGTGTTTCTTTATGTGTATGACAGCTACAAATGGGAAATAGAGGAAGAATTAGTGATAAATGGTCCATGAGGGTTCTCTGGGTTACAGCAATTGGAAGTGCTATTGGTATGCTGTTACTACAAATACCCCCTTCCCCCAAAAAAGCCTCCCTTTTTAAGGGCGCGTTTGGTATGCGAGACATGTTAGTACAAAAACTTGTTCCACGTTTGGCGTGAGATTAAATTGTGACGAGAGAGAACCTAAGTGGGAAAAAATGCATTTTTTTCCTTGTAGGGTGAACAAAAATCCGGGAGACTGGAATTAATTGATAAATTACTAAACTGCCCATCTCAGTGAAACCCTACTAAATCCTTCCACAATTCCTTCACCCACCTATCTCACTATGTCTCGTTCGCATACCAAACGTTATTAAGCCCGTTTAGTGGTTTCTCCAATCGTCATTGCTAATATTCAGTAGTTTATTTACCGTTATAGGTCTATATATGGTTGCTGTAGAAAGACAAATACAGAACAGGGAAAAGATGATGGCTGAATCCCTAAGGGCAGCAGAAGCAGAGGCAAACAATGGTGGCACAGTTTGATTGCCTCATTTCCCATCTTCTTTACATAAGCATGTTAACTGCCCTTACGCCTGCACGAAAGTTGCCGGTTTAGAATTTTTACCAACCGAAAAAAGCGTGATTGGGTCGGGACCTTCTCTGAGATGATGGTTTAATAAATGAGCATCGAATTATAAGATGTAGAAACCATAAGCCATGAGTTCCATGAGAATGGTTGTTCTTTGTTGTGGTTCTGTTTAGTTCATTACCAATATGTTTAGATTTAATGTTTTGTTTTATTTTTTGTTTCAGTCGATGTTATAAAACGGTTTTATGTGGTTTTGAAAAAATATATAGATTTTAATATCAAATTAACTATTTAAAAGTTCTCGTTTTTTTATAATTTCTTTAATTCAATTTTTATTATAATTTTGTTTAGACTTAATAATGAAGTAATTTATTTTTTGTTTAATAACACAAGTTTTTATAAAAACAATAATTAAGTATTATGTTTTGAATCAATTATTATCCTAATTATATTTTAAGTTTAGTATATTTAGAATGAGATGTTTATTCTTATTTGATTATGTTTATCTGCTGTTAGTTACACAGATTCAAACATGGAACTTTAATAAGTTGTACTTACGCACAATTTAGGAGTCGTTTGATAGTTGCAAAATGATTAAATGGTCAGAATGATTAAGAAACTCTCATGATATAGTGCAAAATAAAGTATAATTGTTTGATAATTGTTTACAATGGAATTAGGATGTTGAATGGTTAAAAGAGGTCCATGATACAAAATCATTAAGAGGGTTTTAGAATCATTAAGAGGCAGATTTTTTTTTTTTGTTAAACAAGATTTACCTATTAGCAATTCAAAGGCTCTCTCTTAGTGCATTATTAAGAGTTATACAAACAGCTCCGTAATTGTAATCTTGAATTTTAAGTAATGTGCATTAATAAACAATAGTTTTTAAGAGTTTTTGTTAAATATTTTATAATATAATATAGATATAAGGGGTTTAATCAAAAAAATAAAAGAAAAATCGCTAAGAAGCTTATGGTGAAAAAAAATAATTCTAGAAAGGACTTAAATTTTAATTCAAGATAGTCAGTTTAATAATTTATCGATTTTATCTCAACTTGTTAATTTTATTCCATCTATTTTAGTAGGACGAAAAAAATGCACTTTATCAACTTGTCCTTTCTCGGTCTATGTCACCTCAAAAGCAAGACAAGTTTTTGTATCGTGTTGTACCCTTTCTAGCATACCGATACACCCAAACAAAAAAATTATCAAATGCCCCTGTCTGGATTTCGACTCTAGACACCACTCACATACCCGACCTCCCAATGATAGCCATGTAATCTATACAATGGGAGGTCGGCATCATACCTTTTTTTGCATAATCCGTCAATTAAAATCAGCAAAACAATCGAAGGAATAGGCACGAATCAATAAGAGAGAAAGGGTCTCAAGATTATTTGGTATCCAAGTATTTACATCAAAATTGAATGTATCAACACAAAAATTGGGATATACTCTATCCAGCATATGCTACAGAAACACATCCAAAATCATTTCTACTACAAATTCTATTCCTTTTGTTATAAAAAACAAAAACAAAAACAAATATTAAAAGAAAGTGTTATCCCTGTTAATGGGATTTTTCAGGTGCCTCCTTGACCGCGATCTCCTCTCTCCTTTCCCACGTCGAACAGGGTTTTTCTTTGCGGAATTCCTAGCAGATGAGTTAACTCGTGCAGATATAGGAACTGGGATAGGAACTCGGCTGCGTTTTAAGTTACTCACTGTTCTTGCAGGAGGTGGCATGTGCTCTAATAGATCTCGGTGGTACGCCTGTGTATACCACCCTCAAAACTATCAGAATAACAACCAAACCAAACAAACCTAGTATATCCCCTTGAAAGCAAGGTCTAGGAGGGGTGAGATGTACGCAGTTTTGACCACTAACCCAAAGGGTAGAGCGGCTGTATCTATGAAACCAAACTAACAACCATCATTGCTAAAACCATATCACAATAATTAAAAGGACGAAAATCTAATCCAAAAGAACTCGCTCATATCATAATGAAATTTATATATAAAGAGAGGGAGGTTCAGGGGAAAACACCCAAAAAAATGAAAAACTGAGAAACATCTTGGTAACCGTTCATCTGAATAGTATGGATAGGTGCATACAGGTAATTGAAATTGTTTCTTGGTTTTTATGCACGTGTGCATGTTATGCACATCAGAGAAATTGCTTATAAATTGCTTGTATGCACATGTGTATACCATTCCTCAGTTTTTCATTTTTTTTGTGGTTTTCTCCTGAACCTGACCCTATATATAGAAAGAGAAGAAGGGGCTGTTTGGTAATTATTGAATGGTTAGGTGCAGAATGATTAAGTGGTCAGAATGATTAAGAGGCTCTCATGATATAATGCAAAATGAAATATAATTGTTTGGTAATTGTGTACAATGAAATTAGGGCTCTTAATGGTTAAGGGAGATTCAGGATGCAAAATTATTCAGAGGGTTTTAGAACCATTAAGAGGCAGATTTTTTTTTTTTTGCCAAACAAGATTCACCTCTTAACGATTCGGAGGTTGCCTCTTAATGGAACTATTAAGAGGAAAACAAACAACCCCGAAGACTTTCGAAAGGAAAGACTAAATCCCAAGGGGGTGTTCGTGAAGACCCCCAGCTTGCAAAACAAAATAATACAAGAAACAAGAGAGCAAGCTACACAAGTGAGTGTGCAAACAAGCAATGAGTACATTAACAGAAAATTCACTAGGGATAAATGTGAAGGAATATAAGTTAATACAAAAGTAGGAAACATAAAGAGCAATACTGACAACTATTATTGCAAGAAGAAAAGCAAAGACTGGTGTACAATAAGAAGTCACACAAGTAGATACACTAGTAGACATGAAAAGTAGCAAACACTTGGAATTGAATTCAAAGGATTTCAAGGGAATTGGAATGGTCAATTCCTTTGACCAAATTCCAATTCCTTTCTTTGGTTCACATATTGAAAATGTAGGAATCTTTTGAAGTCCATTGAATCCCTTAGATTAAAGATTTCACCATTCCATGGGATATCCCAAAAATTCCACTTCCCTTGACAATTCCATTCGGATTCCATCCAACCAAACATGTGGTCAAATTCCATTCTAATTCCTTCAAAGTCAAATTTTTCGATAGATTCCAATTCCGCCAAATTCCACTTTTGCGAACCAAACGCCCTCTAAGAGTCTAAGACAACCCTCTGTCTTACGTAAGAGCTTGGTAACCTAGCTGCCACTGCCCTATCCCTCCCCCTGTCTTACTCTCTTATCTTCTTCAAACTCTCCTCTCGACCGTGCTACAAGTCCCTACCCATAGTCTGCTATCCTAATCCACATCCCCGAGAGTTCCTATCGGGTCAACAAATAACAAGAAAAAGAACCAAGTGGCATGCATTTGATTTTCATGCAGGAATCCTTTGTTTGATTCACATATTGGAAATGTAGGAATCCTTGAATTCCATTGAATCCCTTCGATTAAAAATTTCACCATTCCATGGGATATCCTAAAAATTCCAATTTCTTTAGCAATTCCATTCGGATTCCATCCAACCAAACATGTGGTCAAATTCCATTCCAATTCCTTCAAAGTCAAATTCTTCGATAGATTCCAATTCTGCCAAATTTCATTTTTGCGAACCAAACGCCCTCGAAGAGTCTAAGACAACCCTCTATCTCACGTAAGACCTGGTAACCTAGCTGCCACTGCGCTATCCCTCCCCCTGTCTTACTCTCTTATCTTCTTCAAACTCTCCTCTCAACCATGCTACAAGTCCCTACTACCCATAGTCTGCTATCCTAATCCACACATCAGAGCTCCTATCAAGTCAACAAAAAACAAGAAAAAGAACCAAGTGGCATGCATTTGATTTTCATGCATCCCAGGACACCGTGAAACGTATCATCCTTACCATCTATAGAAACAGAAAGAGAGCGAATCCACATTCTCTCTTTTAACAATCACTTTCATGGTCCATGAAGGAAAGAATGGTAGATTAGGTGGTAAAGATAAACTGATGGAAACTTCTATAATGTAAATTCCTCTATATACCATTTCAGGATATCCCATCCAATTTATTAAATTTCCCTTTTTTGACAACATTTAGAGTCAGAAATCATCGTTCCAAAAAGTTGACATTGATTTTGGCACGCAAGATTTCCCTCTTTTGTCATTATTTAAGGTATTCAGGACATTTGACTAATGGTTCGACACTTTCTCGAACTATACACCCAATCAAACATTGCAATTCCCATATGAAGTAAAAAAATAAACAAAATTTCTAAAAAGGGGTGAATTCATAGTGCAATGATTATGTGATCGCATACCTGTATCACAAAATTCCGTCTTTCACAATCCAGAAACATGTTGACGCTCCAATTGACTTGAGCCATGATTTTGTCCCTTACAGTAGCAAAGCTCAACTGATCCCTCGAAGTAAACCTATCAACTTCATTGAACCACAAACATGTGAAGAGATTTGTTATCGGAATGTGTTCCCTTATGATGACGCACCCTTCAGGAACATCTGCAATGTACCAACTCTCTTCAAGATGTGATCCACAAACAAGAAAGAAACCAGCACAGAAAATGAAAAACAACCCACCACTGATTATAGGAAGTTTGGCCTCAGAATAAGGCGTTAAACCCTCATTTCTGTAAAAATCAATCTGGTAATCAATGGAGGAATTGTCATATTTCCCTGCAGCCTTATTAGCTTCAGCTTCTACGAACACATCGAAGCGCCTATAATGTTTTGAAATAGCAAAAGTAGCATTGTGGCGCCACAAGAACCTGAACACAATACATGAGCACCTGTTATAGCAGCCAGTTGCTCGAAATAGGTGATCCAAGAAAATAGGGGGGGGGGAATAACAACAGTGACGGCATACAGTAATGGGAGGAAACCATACTTGTCAATGCGACAATGACGCTTATATCTCTACTGGCACATGTGAAATTAAACAATGCAAGTGTGGTAATGTAGGCCAGAACTAAAAGTTTGATATTCATTTGGGGTGCATTGTTACTTGGGCAGGACTGGACAGAACTGAGACCGGACTGGATGAGCGAGAGTGAGGTACGAAGGTGAAAGAAACGTGGAAGGTTTTAAGGGTTTAATTTGACATGTGTAGTTTAGTAATTTACCAATCTTGTCTCGCTTAATTCCGTCCTGTCCCAATCTAATGTTGTGCCAAACGCGCAACAACAAATTTGTTCTGTCGTGTCCCGTTTCATCCACTTACCAAATGCACCTTATGAAGACTGGTGCAAGAACAAGCGACCAATACAGCTCAAGATTAATCATTCAGACCACTAGATGCATTGCAAAATAGAAAATGGGAAATGACAAAAATCATGAGTAGCAAGTACTGGAGGAGGCTAAAAGCTATACATGAATCATTCAAATAACATGATGCTGGAGGGACCTAATTCAGAACATTATAATCATAATATTGAGGTTACATGCTTTTTAAAATGCTGGTTGGAGAGGAGCATGTAAGTACCTCTCAAGAACTTGATATGGGTCCACAACAAGTTGCAACTTCCCGTCAATCCATATAGAATACCGAACATTTGGAAAGAGCCTGTGTAGCAGAAGCTTTGGAACCTGCCACATGTGTATTCTGGTTTATAGAAAATCTAATTGCATGAATTCAAACGGTTCTTGATTCCAAAATTCATAAGTTCACTATTCATCATATGGGGATATAGGATCAGCTAAACACTTATTATAATAATTGTTGATAAAATAAATAACAGGAGATTCGACTTCTCTCCGGTCTATTGCCCCAGCCAAAATTTCCACTAATCCTACAAAGCTATGATGTTTAAGTGAAAACCCAAACAAGGTTATCATATAGGTAGATAACCAAAAGATGACTCTCAGTACTTTCTAGTAAATTTGAAGATCTGTTTAGAAGGCTGCATTTATTTTAGTATATCACCCTTTTTTGTTTATGGACGAGAATAGAGGGGGGGAAGCATATCCATGCAATGCTACTTCGTAATAAAGAGCCTATATCCCAAAGTGAGATGCAAACCTGCAAAAGAGGATTCCATTGGAATTATATCACCTTCCTTCTCGACAAGGGATACACTACCTAGAGTTGTGATATTGTCACTAGAAAAGACAAGGATGCATCCTCTAAATAAAGGGGTCAAAGGCAAGACTCAAGTCCTACCCAAGAAAGCAACTAAGCGAAGTGAATGCATACAAAGTGAGACTGTGATACCATATCGATAATCAAAATGCCTCTCACGGGCAAAAGGATTCTGCTCCTTAAAAGACCCACAAATAGGATCATGTCATAGAAAACCTTGATCAGACACCTGACCTAGAATTTTACACATAGGCACGGACGCACGGTGTGGTCCACGAAATAAATTGGGGCCAAAAACAGTAATTCCCTTTATTTCCTAACAAGTCAAAAATTTCATCGAGGCACAGGAGGCTATAGAATAAACCCACAAAAGAAGGTGAACAAAATCAAATCCCCAAACCATATACCACCTCTCATCTTCACCTCTCTAAAGTCAATTCCTTTTATATGTCCAAGTCCTTCGGACCTCTCCAGCCTGCTTCCCCTGATGTAAATATTGGCATACCTTATTTCAAACGCCCACTTAACCATTTCAGTGCATTAAAAGGCCTATGCTAGGATGACCAAACCATCTCAAGTGGTTTTGCATTGGTTTCTCTATAAAGGAGCCACCCTAACCTTTACTATATATTCTCATATATATATATATATATATATATATATCTTATCCATCTTTGTGTGTCTGCGCACCTCCTACAACCTTTGCATTATGCTACAATAATCTTGTGATGCAATTATGTATAGCTTATCATAACCCAAGGTTGTGGTAGCAACTAGTTACAACTACGGAAGTAATCGACTAAATTACCGAAGAAAATACAGACAGAACATCTAGCAAGCTACACGACAATGATTGCTTCAAAAACATAAAAATCATTGCACTCTGCGTTAGGTAAGGATACCTGTTACTAGGATCAGTAAACTCTCAACTCTAGCCACCAAGCCTTGAAATCTTATATCATATCTGGTAGAATCTAATTGGGGTGGCAAAAGGTAGACATGGATAAATTGGGAACATAAATTATTCTCGATCTGGAGTTGTTAGGTATTTCTGCTTAGCTATGAAAAGTGCATTTGAGAAAATTTCTCACCAAGGAAGGACCCTTGCTGAAACCTAAGTTAGTACATTAGTAAGCATGTGCAGATCAAACATGGCAGCTCGAAGATGCCCTTATGGTATAATACACAATTAATTCATACACAAAATATTTGAAGCAATTCATAGCTTTCTAGTGCCAACCCATCTAATGTAGGAGCTAGCACAACGCAGTGACAAGGATCTTGGTGAAAATCCAAGAACAGCGCTTTCAGGGTAACATTGCTTCATTTGGAACGCACTTTCAAATAGGAAAACATAAAAGAGTTATTTTAGAACAATGAAAATAAATTTTAGAATTAGTTAGCGATTCACTTTTAGATGTAATCTACTTACATGATGCTCCTTCTACAGAATTTAAATGTTAAAGAAAGTAGGGAATATTAATTTGCACATGGTTTCAATCACCTAAACAGGTTCAATTTGTCATGTTTCCAATCTATTAAGTGGAGCTCATCTAACAATGCCCACATAGGGACAAAAAAAACATATCACAAAGACAAAGAAGACAAACCTTTCCGTTGCGTCTAGAATCAGAGTAAGGGATGTTACGAACAACAATAATTCTCCACAATCCAACCTTCATGTTGTAGTCCAAAACACTAGAGTTTCTCATATATGCTTCAGTCTCTTCATCAATGAACATATAGAATGGGATGTTTCTACTTGCAGCCTCGCTGATCTTAGTTGGCTGTTGAATTACATCATAGTTTCCTGAAATTGGAGAAAGGATACATTGGAGATTCATGTCACGTCATCTGCACAAATGAAGGACTAGTGATTCAACGAATGGTATGAGTTTCACTCAGCAATACCAAATATGGCTGATGCAACAATGATCTCATGAAACTGCTCCAAGTCCACAAGATCAGATACATCGATATCAAATCCAGTTTGGTAACCAGGTCTGCATCCTTTTACAAATCTGGACAAAATTTTACTATTAACAAATCATTGTGAATAACTATAAATGGGCCTAGAAAGATGATTCAGAGTTTCTATATCAAACATACCCACAATGCACAGTCATTGATTCTTTAATATCAAAAGATTCATTCCTTTGCTTTAGGGAAGGATACCCACCAAAGTCGGAGCCTTCATGTGGTTCAGTTTTAGTAGAACTCTCCTCATGAAAATAAGTTAAGTGATGAAGCACCGGAGATGTTGAAGGGGAGCTCGGCATGCTTGCCATAGCCTGCTTCACGGGAAGGTAACATACAGGACAAGCTGGTGAACAACGACATAACAAAATCAGTGACAATGTGGTCAACTCAAAATTGAAATTTAAATATGCCATAGCTTTTGACTGCATAGGAGGATATTGGATCACAATTACCACCAAAATTGTGGCATTCGGTTACTTAAAGAGTTAAAGTATTTTACTATTCGGTTACCATTCTATAATATTTGAACTTTTCATAGTTCCCAACTTCCAAGGAAATAAAAACAAGAAACACAAACAACTTTCTCATAAGCAAACACATGTCCTGAGATGTGAACTTACGTCGAGGTCCAGGCCGTCTCCTATCACCTGGAGGAGGAGGAGGAAATGCAAAATTCTGACACAGATTGCTATTAGAAAAGACCGATTCTGTAGAAAGTGATGCAGCAGAAAAATGGCGAGTAGGTGGGTTTTCTTCACATACAGCCAGAGTTGTCTGCATAGAAGAATTATCGTCTTGCTGACTACCGAATTTTCTGGAGAACTGTAAAGATGTATTATATGCCTCACCAAAGTGATTGAAGATCGTGCTCTCTGATGCATCTTCTGACAAAACAGGGAAATGGTACAAAGAAACTATTAGGACACTTATTACAAGACCAAAAAAACAAAAGTAGGTGGAAAATTAAAGAATTTGTAGCACACGGGGAATCTTATTTGGACAACTAAATTCTTTATATCGCTACAAAAGTCTGCATGAGTCCATTAGCAACATGGCTTTACATGCATTTTCAGTTTTTCTTGGCAGCATGTTCCACATAGGAGGCTAAACTTCAAATCACTTGGCAAAACTAAAATCTACAGTCTAACAAAATGAATTACACCAAAATGGATTGATCATCTTAAACAATTGGATAGTCAAGAAGACTTAAAAAGATGGCAATTTTGATGGTGTATTTGTAAAGCTTCTCGACGCCTATAGTCCAACTTCATGATGGAAAAGGAAATAAATAAATAAGCAATCATAAGGCAACAATTAATCTTCTTTAGACAAGCAATATCTATTCAGCCATCCACAGGCTGACAACTGTAACAGTGAAACCTTCCCAAAGCAACGAAAACATTCTTATTAAATTCAAACCCTCCCAAAGTATAAGAAGTCTTTCCACCTAGTCATCGGATCAACCACACATATGGAGTAATGATTCCACAAATATAAATGGGTTGGGTTCCGGTGAGAATGAGAGTTATGGTGAGAAGGGTAAGAAGGGATCTCCACCCTCTGATCAATCCTGATTAATAAGATACAGTAGATCAATTCCCTTCTAATGCTCAACTCATGGGTTGTGTTGGGATTAAAAGTGATCAAGGATCCAAATCCCTTCTTACACTTCTCACCTTAACTCCTATTCTCACACGATTCTTCGTCTATATAAATATATTACGACATAAGAGTAAATTTAGAACTATGGTTGAGAAAGAAACCTCTATTGACGGTAAAGAACCCTGTCAAGAAAGCCATGAGGGCAAATGAACCTAAAATCAGCATTACGACCTTCTTTCTACTTAGATATCTGCACAAAAAGGGAAGAAATTTATCCTTCTCCCTCGGACCAGATAGCGACATCCTTGAAGACTTGCGAACAATGAACCCATTTTGAGTCTGCAATGAACCATTCTGTGGCTGCTGCGGTGATCCATAACTCTGTGTTCTTGAATCCAATGACACTCCAGTCATTGTAGTTCCAACCCCGCAGTTTTGCTCTTCATCGCCTTGTTCCCCCACACCTCCCCCTCATTCACAGTAACCAGAAAGCGTCTCCCGAAACAAGCTCTAACTGCAAATCAAAATCAACCTCAGATTACTAAACACACAGAACACCATCTGAAGAATCAATTAAATTGTTCGGTTTTCAATCGTCAACTGAAAATACATCCTCGTGATGAATACGAAATTGTGACAAATTTTCGGCAAATCAATACGAAGTCCTATCAGATTAACAAATCAAAATCTCACACCTCACATTACGTCACGATCTAAGCCGTAGACGAAAACGCACTACGTATAATCCATATAAAAAGCTAAAGTTCAAAGCAAAATCACATAGATTTAAATTGTATATACTAAAAAAGACAGAAAATAACAATTAGACCTTACCTTATTCCACTGCGATACAATCGCTAGCACCAAATTCAAAAAGGAACAAAATCAGTCTTTTTTAAGTAGCAAATCTAGGGTTTTCCTCTCAAGATCCAGTGAAATCTTTGACTACGCTATGGTTTTTTTCCCGGTGCAAAATCCGTGATTTCAGTCGATTTTTTCTCTGCAAAACTATACAGCGCAATCAATTCTTGACAAGAAAACCCCACCTCCAAAATTGTTCGTCCTGCAAGATTTCTTCGTTGGGTTTTTGCAGTGTGCAGTAAAATTGAGGTATCAACCAGATTTGATCAACTTTTCCAATACTACCCGTATCCGCCAATGAGATTGGTGATAGTGGAATCGGGTTTAGCCCCCTTTGTTTGGAACGGTTTCGCTTTCAGTTATTGGTATTATTCCTTTTTCTTTCTTCTTTGGCTAAGGGGCTGTTTGTTTACCACTTAATCATACCATTAAGATGTAAAGGTCTGATTCGGTCAGACCTTTTCTTGTTTGGGTAGGTTTTTAAAAACATCTGAATGGTAAAATGGTATCTGATTCGCTCCTTCACGGCTCCTCCCTCCATATCATTCAGATTTGATAATTTTCCAAAATTGCCCTCTATTTTCTCTAATCGTCGTCTCCAGGTCTGGCTCCATCGAGTTCTCCAAGCGACGCAAGACTTCTAATCGCCTTCTTGTTCATCGATCACCAGTGTCGCCCAATCGATTCACAGGTAACGATTTCATATTTCTAGGGCTTGTTATTGTTCTGTATTCGTATGTGGATAGCAAACAGGTCCGTCTCACCCTTCTTCTTAAGCCGCTATGTATTACGCAGCTTATATGTAACTAGATGTTGTACAAACACTTGCATTATAGTTTGATTCATTATCTTTGCAGTATTCTGTGATTATACATAAGATAGGTGTTCGTGGTTTAGGGTTTATAATTTGAAATTGGAAGCGTTTGGCAATACATTGTTCACGGATATGAATGAAAACCCAACAGGAATACATAAATTTTTTGGGGAAACTCTCGATTGCAAACCTGGATTTGACCTACAACAACTTGTGAATGAAAACCCAATATGAATGAAAACCC